AGAAAAATCACTCTGGTGAAAAACACGGGCTTTGCATCCCAGGGCTGGCCTGTTTCTTTATGCCCTGGACACAAGGCAGCCTTTGGATGTGGCACAGGACCCATTGCAGGCCTATCAGAGAGGGCAAAAAACATACAGGAAGGTGGACTACAATAGGAGGGTTGTCTGATAGGAAACCCCAGACAAATAAATGCATTTTTTCCCCAGGAAACCCAAACCAGTACCATAACCCACTGAAAGATGAGGGGGTCACATTTTTTCCAAGGGAAACAGATGCCTAAAGAAGCTGATAGCTGGGAGTGGGATTTTTTTTCCCCCTCATTGTGTTTGGAGAGGTTGTTGGAGGAGCAGCAGGATATCTGATGGGCAGAGGGACAGGTCACTGTTCTCCAGGGGCACAGAGGGAAATCCCAGGCCAGTGGCTCAGAAGGAGAGAAGGGAAATTTTAAATCATTTGTGCAGGAGGAATCCCAGATCACTGGTGAAAATTAAAAAAAAAAAAAAAGTGTAGGAAAGAGTCTTGCCTGCCTGGGATAGTAGCACTATGATCTCTGCCATGGGAAGGGGGTTTTAACCCTGGAAAACCCCTTTGCTTTCTAGTACACGGCTGTGCTGCAGGCTCACACCTCACTGTGGTTTTGGGGCGGGTGTCTCAGCGCTCTCAGAAGCCAGGGGAGCTGCTTCCTCTCCTCTGGGTTTAGGTTTGTATTGATTTGTTTGTATTTGTTTCACTTGTGTTTGTTTTTCATTCATCAGCGATTAGTGTTTGGCTCTCTGGGCTGTGTTTTGGGATGTTTCCCAGCTTTTCTGACCTTATCTCCAAGCAAGGATAAAGCAGAGCAGTTGGGAACCCTGGGGGATTAGTTACCAATATCCGATTGTGGCACGTCCAGACTGCATCCACGTGAATCATTGATTTTTCTGGGGAAAAAACCCAACCCAAGACAACCTTCCTCTCTTCCTCCTGAGCCCCACATGGGTGCCTTGCAGTTAGATGTTTATTCCCATCCAGAAATGAACTCAAGCTGCGGATAGATTCCCATTTGGAAACGTTCTTCCCGGTCCTGTTTTGTTTACGTCAGCAATCACTGGGGGACGTGCCTGGATCTCCCTGGGGTTTTGGCTGTCCTGAAGTTCTGTTTTTGCTCCAGGCAGCTGTTGGTGCCAAGGCTTTTGCCTCAGCACCGCTGGTGGTGAGGGGCTTTTGATGGATTTGTTCACATCCTCCTCTCAGGATGGGTCTAATTCATGAATCCTGGTGCGAATAGAAGAGAGAGGCATCGATGCACGGCAGCAGCACTGGGACAGCCGCTGGTGGATGACTTCAGCGTGTGCTTCGAGGACACCCTAATTTCACTGTCCATCCCAGCTGGAGGGTTTTCCACCTCTTTCCTGCATCCGGCTTCCCCCTGGGGCCTGGGCCGCACATTTGGTGACAGCGAGGAGCTGGCGGGGGGCTGAGGAAGGGGTCAGGCGCCGCTGTCGGAACAGGATCTCGCTAACCACATCCTCATTCCGCGGGGGGCCGTGCTGGGAGCCAGATGGCCGGGCCGGGCCGGGATGGGAAGGGCCGGGACGGAGCTCAGCCAGGCTCGGGGACCGGCAGAGCCGCGATGCTGCCGGAGCTGGGGCTCCCCCAGCATCCCCCGCCGCTCCCGGCCAAGATGCGACCGCACGAATCCCCAGCGAGCATCCCGGCGCCGACCTCCTCTGCTCGGAATTGAAACGCTTCCAAAAAAGCCGGGGGCGTGCGCGCAGCCCTCTGCAATTATTAGTCGTACCACAAGCTGCTTCCTCCCTCCCTCGAGCCGCTTTTGTGTCGCATTGTTTTCCTTTCCAGGTGGCCCACCGGGGCTGCCTCCTCGCCACCGCGCCGGCCGCAGCTCTGCTGGCGGAGAGGCCACCTTTGTCTGCCAGCCAGCCCGGCCCTTCCTCCCCCTTCCTCCTCCTCCTCCTGCTCCCGTGCCAGAGCTATTTCGGGAAACAGCAGCTGAGCCGGAGGATTGTTAATTGTTCGTCAAACCCCTTCCAACCCCGCCGGATCACATGCGGAGATTAGAGCGGCCGGTCACACCCTTTCCCTCCGCCTCCTTCTCCTGGATCCCCCCCTGACCCGCAGGGCTGGGGGCGATGTCCCTTCCGCGGGGCGGGCGGAGGGATGGACCGGGGGGTGCATCCAGCTGTGCCCAGCTGTGGGAAGCGCGGCGATGCCGAGCCGCGGCTAGCAGCGGATCGCCGTGCTCGGAGGGCAGCCCCGGGCGCGGGCAGGAGCCTCGGGGCAGCCACAAGGAAGGCAGACAAAGCCACCCCAGGCGCTGACCTCAGAAGCCGCCATGTGACTCGGCCTCAAAGTTACTAAAGCATGACATCAGCCGGGGAGGGAGCGGCAGGGCTGCCACCAAAATATGCCTGCCTTCAACCGGCTGCTCGTCCTCGCCCGTGGATCCCCCCCACTCCCGAGGATAATTGCCATTCATGGTAGTTCCTGCTGGAAAACAAATGGAAAAGATCGCTTTGACACGCAAAAAGCCAGCCTAGTCTTTGGGTCGTTCCCAGGGATAAGAATGTGTCTGTGAAGCAACCCACTTTAGATAATGATATACGTATTGATATAGTGTGTGTGTGCACCTTTGCTTTGGCAAATGTCCTGGACCGTGATTCTGAGATGAGATGTTGTTGTGGAAAAGGAAAAACCATCATCCCACCTCTGCAAAGGGCATGGAGAGCAGGCAGATGTCGAGGCAGAGCTTTGGTGCCCTAGGAATACCGTGCTGATGGTTGTGCCTGACACCAGATGTGGTGTTGGTGGGTGAAACTCGTGGTGCTGGGTGCCAGCTCTCCTGCACCTCTGCCCCTCCCTGCTGGTGCTCTGTCTGAGCACTGAGAGGGACGAGGGATCACTCAGTCCCCATCCCCATCCTGCTAATCCCTGGCCAGAGCCGGGAGGGGCTGCTGGCCCGCCTGCTCCCAGGCAGGGTAGCGGCCAAAAGGCAGTGCCTGCAGAGAAGTGGTGCCTCATGCCATGGGGGTGAGGTGGTGAGCGGCAGAACTGGTCAGTCTGCTCCGATCCAGGCATCTTCACCCCGCAGAGCTCCCACGCTCTGCCTCCTCCACCCGCCTTGGGCTTTTCCCAGCTGGTGTGATGACTTTGCACTGCTGCTTTTAGTCCCCGAGTTGGGATATGCCTAGCTGAGAGATGCATCAAATCTGACTTTCTGACCCTTTGCTGAAGATGCAAGTGTCCAGATCTGGCAAACAGTAGTCCCAGAGCTGGCCTTGCATCTCCCAGGCACACAGCCAGCCCTGTGCCACCAAGGGGACACTGGTGGCGGGTGAAGAGCCGTGACTGCACTCGCAGGCATGCAAGCCCAGAGCTGCCCTGGCTGGTTAGGCTGACCCGAGGGCTCAGGACAGGGTGTTGCTGGCCCTGCGAGGGGCGGGGAGCAGGTTTGGCAGGTCGGGAAAGCCTCGGTTCCCACCGCTGGAGCTCGCGTCCCTCCGGCCTCCCACGCCGGGTGTGGAGGGGACAGCCCCGCTCCCTGCGGCCAGGACAGGCTCTCCCTGCTGTGGGCTAAGCTGGGACCTTGTGTCTGTGGGACTTTTTGTCTGTGGGGGAAGCCAGGCTTGGCTGTTTTGGCCGTGTGGCTGAGAGTGCCCCGCTCGGGTCACTTCAGATGGAGCACGGCAGGTTTGGTGGAGAAGGGCTGGGCATTTTGAGATGTCAACATCCAGGCTGAGATGCTATTGTGTCTGACACCCAGAGAGTGACATTTTGAGGTTTACCATCTGTGTTTGACCAGGAGGAAAACATACATTTGTCCTGAGCACGTTTTTTTTTTTTTTGGAGAAGGCTCTTGCTATGTCAGCTATGCATTGGTGTGGCCTCATCTTCACTTTTTTTTTTTTTTTTTTTTTCCTCTGTGACCCGCCACCCTTTTTTCCTTCTAGAAGGCCACGACATGGCGACAGGTTGTGCCAACAAAACATCATGATAGCCTGTGGCTTTCCCTTGGGGGAGTTTGTGGATTCATCCCCTGGGGAAAAAAGGGATGGAAGCAAGTTTTTATATGTCATCTGGGAATGGAAACTGATACTCTGGGGCAGCATGTTGAACTTCCTTAATTTTAGGCCCTTTCACTTCTTTTCTGTTTGCAAGTGGTGGTTAGTCCTTGGTGGAAGGAGGAAGGTCTGCACTCCAAGCTCTGAAACACCCTCCAAGCTTTCTTGGATGCCTCCCTGGTGCCTGCAGCTGTGTCTGGGGGGTGCATGTGTTGTCTCCTCTGTCCCTCAGCCACCTGGATGATCCTGCCACCAGCTTTCACAGTAAGATTCCAGTTCCCAAACAAGATGCTCCAGTTTGCCGTGGTCCCCATCACACTTGGAGATGCTCTATTTGCCCTCCCCTACAGCCTTTCCCAGCCCTGTTGTGGATCTTTTCTCTGCCCTGGGCTTTCTGGGAGCTTCACTGCCAGGCCCCTGGAGCAGAATTCTGCCTGGCAGCTGGGCAAGCACGGCTTTGTTCCACATCAGGGCAGATTTTCCCTGAAATCCTCACAGACACATTTCACCCTCCAGCCATCACCACCACCAGCTCCTTCTCTAGCGCAGTAAGATCCCAGACAAGGGGCTGAAATTGCGGGAAACGTCCCCAACCTGACAAAACGGAGGCTGCGCTGGGTTGGATTTGTTTTGTTCGGTTTGTTGTCTGTTGTTTTTCCCTCCCCAGGGAAACGTTTCCATCGCTTTGGCCGAAATTCCCCGCGCCGCCCGCGTGGGGTTCCGCGGTGGGCCCCACCCGCGCGGCGCGCTGGCGTTGCCGCTTTAAGAGCCCTCTCCGCGGGGCGAGCTTTCGAACGCGCTGCCCTGCGCCGCCATTGGCCGGAGCGCGCGCGCGGGGGCCAGCCGGCGGTTGGAGCGGCCGGCGGCGCTCCCTGATTGGCTGAGGCGGGGGCGGTATAAAAGGCGGGCGGGCGCGTGGGCTCGCTCAGTCTGCGGCGCGAAGGGGCGGCGTGCGGAGCTGGGGTGAGGCACGGGTCGCCGCTCGGCTCGGGGTTTTAACTGTTTTTTTTTAAATCACCCCCCCCTTCGCCCACCTGCTTTCCCCATGGAGTTCAAGCTGGAGGCGCATCGCATCGTCAGCATCTCTCTAGGCAAGATCTACAGCGCGCGGGGCCAGCGCGGCGGCCTGAAGCTGCACAAGAACCTCCTGGTGTCGCTGGTGCTGCGCAGCGCCCGACAGGTCTACCTGAGCGAGCCGGGCTGCCCGCCCGAGCCGCCCCCCGCGCCCGCCGGCCACCCCGAGGAGGAGCCGCCGCCCCGCACCGCCGCCTGGGCGGCCGAGGAGCCGCCGCCGCCCCCGCAGGACGAGGCGGGCAGGGACTGCCAGGGCCCCCGGCCGCGGCGCTGTTGCTGCGGCGAGAACCGCGGGGGCTGCGCCGGGGCCCCCCCGCCGCCGCACTGCCCCCGCAAGCGGAGCGCCGGCGAGCGCGGCCAGGCGGGCTCCCCGGTGAAGAAGCCCCGCCGCGAGGAGGAGGAGCCGCCGCCGCTGCCGCCGCCGCCCTCGCCGCCGTGCGAGCAGGAGGACATGGAGACGGGCAACGTGGCCAGCCTCATCAGCATCTTCGGCTCCAGCTTCTCGGGACTGCTCAGCAAGGAGCCCAAGGGCCGGCGGCGACCGCCTCTGGACGGCGGCGAAGCGGCGGCGGGCACGGCGCCCGCCGAGGCGGCGGCCGAGCCGGGACAGATCTGCTGCGACGAGCCGGTGCTGCGGACCCTCAACCCCTGGAGCACGGCCATCGTGGCCTTCTGATGGCCCGGCCGCAGAGACTGGCTCCCCGCCGCGGGCCGCGGGGCCCGGAGGTGACACCCACCGAGCGCCGCGGGGCTCCGGCGCCGGCCAGACCCGGCGCCCTGCGCTGCCGCACGGGAGGGACCGCGGGGCAGCGGCGGCAGCGCTTCCCCGTTCCCCGCCGGGTCCCGGCTGCCGGCACCCGCCCTGGGAGCGCCCCCGGCCCTGCCCTCCCGGAATTCGCCTTCCCGGCAGAGCCGCCGCCGCCCTCCCCGGCGCCCGGGGGAGGCTCCTCGGCTGCCGCCGACCCCGGGGGCGCCCCCGGCGGGTGATATTTTAAGCTTGGAAAGTATTAAGTTTATTAAATAAAGTCTCTATTTTGGAAAGGTTTAGGTCAGAACTATTACATGGTGCTTTTTAAAAGTGTTTATTGAGAGGAACGAAGTTTACAGACGCTCTGACGGAAAGTCCTTGAGCCTGTTTGTTAGGCTTGGTAACTCCCGGTCTTTGTTGTATAAAGGCTTGGGGCTCCCGTAGGGAATTTTGTACAGTGTTCTCCTTCAGTGATGTATCATGTTTTGTATAAAATGTAATTTCTACGTGTACAACACGTATTAAATATTTTCAAGTGTATGAGCCTAGTTCCTGTTTGTGCCCCACTGGCTCGAGGGGGAGGAGGGCAGGCAGCAGCCGGGGTGTGGTTCTGCATGTCTGTGGCTGGATCCACCCAGCCTCGCCAGAGGCTTGGGGTGGGTTGGAGTCCAGCTCTTCTGGGAGCTGGGGAAGAAAGGGAACTTATGTCAGGGTGCCTGGAGTCCTTCCCAGGATCTTCCAGGTGCTCCCGCTGCTCTTCTGGCTACAGCCTCTTCTCGGGGCCGGTGCTGCTGTGGCATTTGAGGTCTTGCTCTGAAAGTACCTAATGTGCAGAGTCACTGTCTGTGGGTGGAAAGCGGTTGCTAAATCCCTGAGGAGCAGCTGGGTGCAGTCTGACCAGGCCTGTGGCGCAGCTGGGCTGAGCGCTGGCTTCCAGCATTGCCTGATCGGAGATCTGGGTTTGGGGCTGTGCGAGTGGATTTTACCCGGCAGAACACAGCTACTGCTCTGCAAGAAGTGTTTCTGTGCCTCTTCTTTGCTGTTACTTGCAGAATAGTTCAAACGATAAATATCAGGAGGGTTTTTTTTCCCTTTCATTATCAGTAAAACTATAACTGGGTTAAAGTTCCTGCTGTTAGGGGTGGGGAGAAAAAGTTTGGCCTCGGCTTCGCAGTGAATGGAGTGCCCCAAGGCGTTGTAATTACACTGAATTGTGGGGGAATTTTTTTTTTTTTCCTGCTTCTTGCTGGAAGATTCACTAGAGGCTTCTCTGCTCCTAATTAATGAACTTTTCAACTGGGGATTGCATTTCTGGCAAGTCGAAGATGTTTGTTTGCTGTGAAATGCAGCCTGGGATATCTGGCTGAGCCTTGGGAACCTGTTTTGGGGATGGGCATGAAAAGTGGCCAGCGAAGGGTTTTTAACACCTTGGTCCTGTGAGAAACTGGAGATGTTGGGCTGGGTCATCCCAAAGCAGGAGGATGGGAGAGATTAGGAGAAAGTGCCTGGTCTGGGGTGGCTTTGAGGCAGCTCTGCTACTTGGTGTACAATTTAATAGCTCCTTATTCTTCAGTAAAAGTCCTACCATCTTAATTTTCTAGGTAATTGCACCTAATGGTGGCACAATTTCAGTCTGGTAGATGACACAAGGAAATGGGGTGTGATGAGACATTTCACTCTCTGACCTTTGGGAAGTGATGGGAAGGTGTTTTCCAGGAGAACCTCACACTCTCATTCCTGTCTCAAGGGAGATGAGGAGGATATCCAGTGAGAGGAGACTGGGAGGAGAAGGAGGATGGCTACACAGTACTATCCCCCCCAGCTCTCCTGCCCTTAGGGTCAGAAGCTGGGCTGGAGGATGGAAACAGCCTCTTCTCCTACACCGAGTTTCCTTCCCAAGGCTGAGGAGAGCAGCTTTTAGTCCTGCTCCTTCTCCACCAGCAACATCTCCATGGAAGTGAATGATTTTGCCCAGTATCCAAATCCCAAAATGGGATGGGGGCATTCCTGATTTTGGCATTTCCAAGCATTTTCTGGGCATCCAGCCCCTGGAAGATCACCTGGTCCTGCTGGTTTGTGTGGCCCTGGTGTCCCTACACAGGCATGACCCAACCTCCCTCTGGCACAGAGCACCCAGCAGCGCTTGTATCTACTCTGTCTTCCAGAGGAGAGTTGTGCAACACCTTAATTGCTGCTGGCCCCTGCCAACAGGGCAGAGACTGCCCACAGATGCCCACGCAGCTCCCTCGGGCTCGTGTGACCTCCCGTGGAGATACCTGAGGTGAGCCAGTTCTCCCCAGCTCATGGCCATGGAGCCGTGTCCCCGAAAGACCCGGCCCAGCTCCATCTGCTGTGCTGACACACGCCTCGTTTGATCCCCTGGCTGGGTTTTGACGTGTGGGGTTTGCTCCCTGGGACCTCTGGCTGCTGTGGTTGAGGCACAGAAAAAAATCAAAAAATAACAGAGATGTGATAGCTGCTGGTGAGCTCTGCTGAGGGGTCTGGACCAAACCAGCCTCAAATTGAAAAGATTCCAAATAATGGTACTGTGTTACTTTTGGAATAATTTTTTCTGCTCTGTTTAATTCTATTTTTTACTCACCAAGTGCCTTTTTTTTCTTTTTTTTTTTTTTTTTTTTTTTTTTTTTTTTTTTTTTTTTTTTTTTTTTTTTTTTTTTTTTTTTTTTTTTTTCAATTCCTATAATCACTTTTATCTAAGCTGGGTTTGTTTACCTTAACTCATCTGTTCTGTTGTGCTGCTTGTACCCCTGGACTTTTCCTTCTGCTCACAGAACTACAGAGATGAGGCTGATGGAGGGGACAGGGAATGAGCTCAAGCTGAGGCTAATGACCCAAACTGACTGCTCAGGCCAATGATGAAGGAGGGAAGAGAAGTGCATAAATAAGCCAGATAAAAATAAAAACTTCCATCACTTGGGACAGAGGGTGACTCCTATGGAAACTGCCCCACCGGGTCGAGGAGGAGATGACTTAATGGGAAGATGGCAGGATCCTACCCTTCCTAGAATAGTAACGAGCCGCTGGAAGCGCTCGCCTCGGCTGCTGCCCTTCCTCCAGTTGGGGTCAGGTCCCGTGGGAGAGGAGAAGTGCTGGGAAAATCCTTCAGCACAGCCGGAGGCTGGGAGAGATGCTGGCAGAGGGAGTGCGGCAGCTGGGCTGCCGGGGTGATGCTTGGGAAGGAAGGAGGGTGGGCAGCAGCTTTTCACTTTTCTCCTGCTGGAATCATCCAGGAGCAATCCCCGGCTGCAGCTCCGGGCGGGTGAGCTGCACCTCTCCTCAGGGATTCCTTCTGGGGAGAGGGAACGACTTAAAACCGGCTCTCGCTAATAAGAGAGTGTCAAAGGTGTGAATCATCTCGGCCTTTAAAGGTGTCTGGCCCGGGCCAGGTGCCAGCAGGGGCTGCTGGAAACCCTCGGGGCTGGGAGCCCATGGGCAGCCAGGGATCCGCAGGAGCTCCGCGTTTCACTCCGGCTGCTCTCGCTCCTTCCTAACCTGATGCAACCCGGCCATCCCTCCTCTCCTGGGGCATGGGAAGAGGAGGAAGGCCCTGCACACTCACCGCTGCAGCATCCTGTGTCAGCGCTCAGGAATCCGGCAGGCTGCAGGGAGGGGGGCGGGAGGCAGGCCAGCAGCGGGGCTGCGCCTGCTGGGGCCTCTCCCTCCTTGGGGAGCCCGAGGGTACCGGAGCATCGCTGGGGGCTGCACCTCCCGGGGTCTCTCGCTGCCCAGAGGGACTGGAGCATCCTTGGGGGCTGCAACTCCCGGGGTCTCTCCCTGCCCAGAGGGACTGGAGCATCCTTGGGGGCTGCAACTCCCGGGGTCTCTCCCTGCTTTGGAGTACTGGAGCATCCCAGGGGGCTGCATCTCCCGGGGTCTCTCCCTGCCCAGAAAAACTGGATCATCCCTGGGGGCTGCATCTCCTGGGATCTCTCGCTGCCCAGAGGGACTGGAGCATCCTTGGGGGCTGCAACTCCTGGGGTTTCTCCCTGTCTTGGGGTACTGAATCAGCCCTGGGGGCTGCAACTCCTGGGGTCTCTCCTTGCCTGGGGGTACTGGAGCATCCCTGGGGGCTGCAACTCCTGGGGTCTCTCCCTGCCCAGAGGGACTGGAGCATCCCTGGGGACTGCACCTCCTGGGGTTTCTCCCTGTCTTGGGGTACTGAATCAGCCCTGGGGACTGCTGCTCCTGGGGTCTCTCCCTGCCCAGAAGGATTGGATCATTCCTAGGGGCTGTACCTCCTGCCTGGGCAGCCCGGAGACATCAGAGCAGCTCTGGCAGGAAGCTTTGCCGAAGGCTAAACCCCCAGGACAGGTTTCTGTGCGGGGAAGGAGGGGTGAGGATGTACTGTGGCACAGCGCTGCGTGCTTAGATGATCGTTCCAAAAGCTGAGGAGAGGCACGCCTGGATCTCCCGTACTGCTGCGGGGCTTGCATCTGTCTCCAATGTACTGTGCTTGCCGGTGATGCTCTGCCAATGTATATTTAGGGTGGGTGGGGGGACCCCCCTCCCCGGTCCCCAGAGGGTTGGGGGGCTCTTGCAGGGGAGCAGGGAGAGGCTCCGTGTTTTCCTGGGCAGGGTGGTTCAGCCCAGGGGGAGGGGGAAGGCGGTGCAGCTTGCTGGCAGGGCTAAGGCTCATGGAAAACTCCAGGGCTTCTTCCAAGGAGGATCCTTTGAGAGGCTGGAGCGGGGCAGAGGGAGGGCTTGGCACGGCGAGGGGATGGCTGGAATGGGGAGAAGCTGGCTGGAAGGTGCCCAGAGTTGCCTTGGCAAGGAGGAAACCCAACAGAAGAGAGTTATTCCAGGCCAGCACGGGTTCCTGGAGGCAGGGTCAGGGCCAGGCGAGCACCGGGATGAGCGACAAACACAAACAACTCCCTTCTCTCGGTCTTCTGGTTGTGATTTCTGCTCCCGACATGCAAACCCTGAGGGGGCCCCCCTCCCCTCCCTCCTTCTCCCCAGCTGGGCGAGGGCTGGCCTGGCTGCCTAATGAAATGCAGAGCTCCTTGGGAGAGCAGGGGAAAAAAAAAAGGCTCTGTTCGAGGTTTTGTGCCTCTGGTTTCCTCTGGCCCTCTCTCCCAGCGGGGTGATTTATTGGTGATGGAGCCTGGGGAGAGGGGGAGGGAAGGGCTTAGAGCTGCAGGCAAATAGTCATCGTTTATTTCCCAAGCACTCACGCGAGGCAAAGAGAAAAAGGGGAGGAGAGGGAGGTAAACTGCCTGGGCAGGGCTGAGGAGCATCATTTACTGGAGCTGAGCTCTCCCAGTTTCTCCCAGTTGCTCTGAGGTGGTATTTGAGCACTTTGCACACCAGAGGACCGGCTTTGAGGTGGATGCCCTCTCCCTCTATCCCAACTTTCCCACTCTCCCTCCCTCCCAGGCAGTGGGGTGCTGAAAGCTGCCTGCAGGCATCTGGGCTGGCTCTCGTGGCCCTGCACTCTCTTCTTAGGTGCAGCCACAGGGGACACCTCATCCTTTTCCCCTTTCCTGCAGCCACAGCCAAAGAGGCCAGCCAGCCCTTTC